CTCTGGATGCTCTAGCTGATGCTATATCTATTGGAACACTGATGGCCTTTAGTTTAGTGTGTGCTGGTGTCATGGTATTGAGGTACACAGGAGGGAAACGTGATTACATTCCAATATCACTCATCATTGCATTTACGTGTGTCACCTTTATGTCAGCCATGTTCTTCACTCACAGCCTTCCTCTACCAGTTCCTATTGTATTTGGTGGAGTTGCTTTCCTTTTATTCATTGCTCTCTGTTTCATGAAGACCTACAACACTCCAACTACATTCAAGTGTCCTCTGTTACCTCTCATACCATGTCTAGGTATTGCAATCAACATGTACATGCTAGCTGGACTCAAATCTGCTGCATGGATCAGACTGGGGATATGGCTGGCCATTGGTATACTCATATATGTGTTCTATGGTATTTGGAACAGCAAAATGAGGGACTATGTTCCTAAACCAAAGGCTCCTCCATCACCAGCAGTAGTTGATACACCAGACCCTTCCACTAATGGTGGTAGTACCATACCAGGACCAGAACACAGTATTAATTCTGTACTGAAATGCACAGTAAACTGATGAGTTTATAATTAAGTTAGTTTTATGTATTGCTTGATATTATCATGATGAAAAACTATGTTATGCTGCTTCTTTATTATTATTATTATTATTATTATTATTATTATTATATTTTTTGCTCTTATGTGTGCTGTGTAATTGTAATGAAATACAAAAATTATTATTTTTCTAATTTTGTTGGTTTTTGTAGGATAATAATAATTATTGTTATTATTAACTGGAAGTGTTAAGTCAAAATATATCAGTGCATAGAAGTCTCGTTACTAATTATAGTAACAGCAGTCTTTGTTACTAATTATAGTAACAGTCACAAATATTCATCCTCCTCCTCCTCCTCCTCCTGATACTGTATGATCCTTGGTCTCTTCAGATCATTTTGATACTCATCCGTCGGCTCATTGCTGCCTCTACTGCTGAGGGTATCTCCTCTCATGAGGTTGGTAATGGAGTAAAGATCATGTCCTCCATATTGCTGCTGCTCCTGTCCTCCAGTACCATTACCTCCCACTTGCTCAGACCTCAGCTGCTCCTGTTGATTTAAAGAGAGTATTAACTAGGAACTGCAGTGACTGCTAATGTACTGTGGTACATGTCAATGAACATGTATACTAGCGGTACTGTGGTACTATAAAGGCCTTTTCACACTGGCACAGTTTTCAAAGCGCTTTGATGCGCTTTGTTGATACAGCTGAAATAATGTGCATTGATCGTGTTCACACTAGCAGCTGAATTGTGTATCATTTTGTGTTCTTGTTGCCATTGGTTTACATTGGTCGAAGCGCATCACTTCACATCAATCCACCTCTGGAGGTGAAGTGAGACTGATGCGCATCAATGCGCATTAATTGAAAACCACTCTAGTGTGAACACGATTAATGCGCATCAATGCGCATTACTTGTGCCAGTGTGAAAAGGCCATTATTAAAATAACAATGGGTATGTTTTCGTGATGTACATGTACATACACACATGTATATATATGTACACGTACGTCCCTTAAACTTTCAATAAGGAAAAGTGCGGTACACTACTAATTTAATTTGTACTTACAGCTGCATGACGACTGTAGCGGGAAACTTTGTGACCCTAGTAATAATAATAATAATTAATAATATTAATAATAATTAATTGTATTAATAATTGTTACTAACATGTTTCAGTTCATACTCTGCAATGCGTCTCGGGAGGTTCAGTTTGTGCTTGTAGTTAGTGAAGAAGTTCCGACACTGAGAAACTGTCTTACCATTGAGGGCACTGCTTAGGGCTTCAACATTCTTACCGTGTTCAGCTATTACTGGAATAGAGAGAGAGAGGGAGGGAGGGAGGGGGGGAGAGAGAGAGAGAGAGAGGGAGGGAGGGAGGGAGAGAGAGAGAGGGAGGGGAGAGAGGGAGGGGGAGAGAGAGAGGGAGGGGAGAGAGAGAGTTTACAACATTAAACATTTAATTCTACTTTACTTTCTAAAGCAATACTGATCTCATCATCTGACCACCTGGTGGGACCTCCTAACTTCTGAGAATACTAACAATAATAATAATAATAATAATAATAATAGTAATAATAATAATAATAATAATAATAATAATAATAATAATAATAATAATAATAGTAATAATAATAATAATAATAATAATAATAATAATAAATAAAATAATAATGCTCAATAATTAATTTATAAACACTACAATGTGCTTACATGTGAAACTGTCATTAATTATTATCATTAAAATTACTAATGGGATTTACTGACATTTACTGGCCTCAGTAATTCAATATCAGGATCAGCACTGTTGATTTCATCACGTAACTCCAATAACTCCTGTTTATTAGTTTGAATCTGATGACCATATATGGACGTATTACATATAGAGAGGGGAGAGAGAGAAAGAAAGAGGGAGGATAATCTCAAAGTCCATTAGTAATAGTTTCTTGCTTTCTCTTTTAATTCCAGTATGTCTTTATCCAGCTGCTTCAGTACAAAGTTCCCTCCTTCACTGGCTAATGAGGACAGCTCACCAGTTGACATGTATATACCCTAAGGAATGATGTAGTCATTGTTAAATCTCTAAAAAAATTTGAGAGACTACTAATCTAACTAAAAATGGTAGACTTAAGGAGGCCTAGAGCTAAATATGAGAGACCAAAAGCTGAAGATTTGAAGAGACCTAGACCAAATATGGGAGACCAAAAGTCTCCTAAACTCCCTCTAGATCTAACAGTGGTCATACACACATCATAGTGCTAATACTGACCTTACCATTATCATAAAACTGATTATAAATAAACTGAACTTCACCAATAAACATAAACTAAAAACTACAAGTACTAATTTTAGTGACATTAAGCGAGTGATCCTTAAAAACAATAAATTAAAGTGACACAAGGATTGATAGCGCCTGTAAATATTTGTATTTTAATAAAATAAAACATAACTGTAATCATATTTACATTGAACATAATTACACTGTTTACTACTCAGGCCAATCTTTAGTAAATAATTTGAACTAATACAATAACAACTGGTATAACATTTCACACACACATTAAGCTATACTGTACATGTACATGTACATACATGTACACGTCGTCCAGCCTGTCTTGAGGTAATGTAATACCTGAGGGCTGAGATATCTGCTTGAGGTGAAGCTGAGGGCAGATATCAAGGGACTCAGGTATATGGCCCATACAGTTTTGGAGCAATTTTAAAAATTCATAAAAAAATCCAAATTTGATTGGAATCAACTCAAACTTAAAACACAACATAAGAACATGTATATGTATCAGGAAACGTAATAAAATTGAGGAATTTTTTCTTTTCAATTTTTGGTGAAATTTGGCCAAAATCCCTGTACTATAGTACAGGGACTTTGACCCGATTTTGGAGCAACTTTAAAAATTCGTAAAAAATCTAAATTTGATTGGAATCAGCTCAAACTTGAAACACAACTTAAAAACATGTATATGCATTAGGAAAAATTATAAAAATAGAAAAGTCTCTCCTTTTCATTTTTGGTGAAATTTGGCCAAAGGCCCTGTACTATAGCCCATGGTTTTTTTCTCCAAATATGGAATAACTTTGCATAATCCAATGGTGTATGTACATGTACATTTAGATAATAGTATGTATTATTGTATTGTGTGACATATTGATACCTTTGGCAGCTGCTTTCCTTTGCCCACTAACTGTACAGGAGGCATAATAGGAGGGACTTCAGATCTTGTTGATCCAGAATTGATACTTTCATCATCTTCATTGCTAGGAGGGAGGCCATTACTACAGTAGAAGAGAGAGAGAGAGAGAGAGAGAAAGAATTAATAATGATGTACATGCATAATGAAGACCTTTATGATAATGACACCTTTATAATGAGGACACCTTTATAATGAGGGCATTTTGTATTGTCCCAATTGGAACAAAGCTATACAAAAGTACCTCTGAAATGAGGTCAGCTCTGTATTAAGGACAGGTAGTACATTCCAAAGACAATAGAGAGTCGATAACAAAGAAGACAACACAGAAATACTATATCATTTTACAACAACATGATGAAATGTCTAATTAGATTTATCGCTAGCTGGAATAGTAACCTAAATTTCTAAGACATCAGGTGGGAGCACCATAATTATAGTAACAAAGACACACGGTAGTATATAGTACTACACTCATCAATCGTATGGTACATGTACATGTATTGCTAGTGTAGGATTTCATTAAGTGGGATATTGCTTCCTAACTACTACTTCTCCCTACACTAGAGGAGGAAGAGCTTACTATCATACATGTACAGTGTAGCCTCTATAATAAGGACACCTTTATAGTAAGTAAGGTCACCTTTATCATAATGACACCTTTATAATGAGGGCATTTTGTAATGTTCCAATTAGGTACAAACCCTATTGCTTCCATTACCTTAATTTCTTTCCATTTCTTCTGGAGTGCTTGTCCAAAAGTGAATACTGAGAATAAGCTCTCTTCCATAGATAATAATACTTCACCAACGTACTAACTGGTTTATCCGGCAACTATAAACAACAACAACAACAACAACAACAACAATAATAATAACAAAACTATATATATTTACCATGGAGCGTATTCTTTGAAAATTCTTTCCGTGACATCTAAAAGCTTGTTCAAACACGACCTTATCCTCCATACTCCAGTCCTCTGAATAGAACAATTTGTACATTTAACCAACATAAAGGGAAATGTGTGTGGGGGCGTGTGGTTGTACAAATTGATGTTGTTATTATCGCTAAAAGTGTACGTCGTGTTTGGTTGCGGTTACTTGTCTGTGTATATGAGTCTTCATCACTTTGTAACTTGTAAATACGCACATATGCATGTTTGTTTTCTGTTTAAGACTGTTTATCTGTTAATTATTTTAAGCATGAACAATTCTCTCTCTCTCCCTCTCTCTCTCTCCCTCTCTCTCTTACCTTGTAGAGGACAAAAGTTAGGTAGATCAGCTACTGACTGCTCAATATCGTAACCATGGTAATATAACATTCCTAATGCCTGATCAATGTTATAGCTGTACTGATCCTTGGCGATCTTTAGATAACCATCAACTGCATAAATAAAAACAATGACATTACATCATCAATTAGTGGAAGGTGATAAGAACATGTAGCGCTGAATGATGGAGTGATAAAAAAATTAGCGCCAAAGATCGTCACGGCTGATAAAACGAGGCGAAATTATCGTTGTAATAAATTAACGATAGCATAATTTGATTTCAAGACATCTTTGCACGCACACACACACTCACATCATGACTGGCAGTTGCTATAAACTGTCGGTACATTTATTACATTATGGTTTAAGATCAGGTCAAACAGAGACAGTAAGAGTGTGACCAGAAGGACATACACAATGAATTAAACTATAAATGACTCAAAGTTGCTTTTGTGAAAGTGTCCGTTAAAAGGAATAGAGTTTAATCAAGTTTATGAATTAACGATGATAACAACAATTAATAATTATCCTTGCTTTGTTTATAATAATTGGCATATTATCAAACAACTCCAACCAACTAAAATGAACCATATACTTCTCTGCATCTTCCTATAACTGCTTTATGTATGGTAATGGGTCCACAATGATTTTGGTATGCTTATAAAATAGACTGTAATCCAAATTATATGAAAAAGTAGCTACTGTAGATACTAATATCAAGTAATATTGAAATTTGTTCAGTAGTATTATTCTTAGCTAAAGGTATTAAAGATTTCTACTTAGAATACAATAAAGACACAGACACTAGTACACATTATACTATGTATAAACACACACTTTCATTATCGCTAAGAAGAGAGGTGGGTTTCCATAACAGCAATGACCCAGGACTGGTAGAATCCTCACCTGCACAAAGAATAGAGGCTAATTATAAAGTAATAGACTGTTTACCATCAGTTGTATACTCGGGAACATCAGCTTGGTATTCGATACCTACACGCATACCTGGCTCTATTGGAGGTTATGAAATTGAGTGCATTAAGATCATTAATGTATGATTAGAGTTGTTCTATTAAATTCCTACCCTGCATATCTCCTAGTGCACCCACGGGCAGAGCTTTTAGACCAGAACTTGCCAGCAGTGTCCTCTGAACGCTCCGCGTGTTCATAATAATAAAATGAAAAGGAGATCTTAGTACACAATTTCGTCCACCATGTTTACAACAATAATTGCATATCCGTATATTCCGGGATATTACAAAAATATCCGGATACTTTGCGTCATTATGCATCACTTGAGCTGTGAAAATTAAAAATTATGGTCTCTTGCCAAACAGAAATGAAAAACTTTTTTAAAAACACATTCCACACAAAAGGGTAGTAGATTCATATCTTGTGTGTGAGTGGTGATAGATAGTTAAAAACAAGAGGGAGAGAAAAAGGCAGAAAAAATACAGAAACTCAAAAACTAAACACATAATATTATAATAATAATGGGATGATTGATGATGATTATAATTTATAGTGTGTGTGAGTATAGTTTCAGAGCATAGGTGGTAGATAGACTGGAGGGGAGCTACTGTACTAGTATCATCTGGTCTTCAATCTTAAGCTCCTTCTGGAGGAGCAGGAGAAGTTGAAGGTGACTTTACAGCTGCAGCAGTATCAGGATTGGTAGAACGGGTAACACAAGCAGGTTTGTCAGTTTTAGTGTCATAGTACAGCTTTATAGGAGGACTATTCTCATTAAAAAATGTAAGACATGCAGCAATAGTTCGAGTTGGACACAACTCTTCTACAAGAAAGAGAGAGAGAAAGAGAGTGCGTTAATGTAATATAAGATGAGTTCATTATAAACAATTAGGTTAATAAAGCAGTGATGAGGACATCAACAACAATACATGATCAAAGAGACCCGTTAGACAGTCTGATTACTGGCAGCACCCATACATGTCCTTCACAACGACCGCAGAATGATGAGATATTCTCTCAACATTTCATTGCGGTTACCGGCTTGTCACACAAAGTCTTCATCAAACCGGAATTTACAAAAGATACGTGTCATACCTTTATACATAGAATACAACCGGAGGCATTGCATGTGCATTGCATGCTGACAAAACAGACTGGTCTATTCACAATAACAAAAGCCCTTTAAGATCCTTAGAGATCCTTTGAGCATATTGTGTCACTATACACGACACTAAAAACAAGTCCTTTTGGCAAAGCCTTACAAAGAGAGTCACTATGCATTCTTAGAAAAGATTTGTAGTTAAGGCTGGGACAAAAATCTTTTTTTTTGAGGCATACTAACTCTGCAAAAAACTTTAATCCAAATGGTATGCATGTCTCCTTATCCTATATCTGAATTGTAGCAATAAGAGACATTGCAAGGCTTGAAACTATCATAATGTACTTACAAAATGATCATTATATACTAATAGTGCATAACACTTCATGCATCATAAAATACTCGACCCTGCAGCTAGGGGGACAGGATGTGTTGTAAGTTTGTAAAGTTTCCTCTCACACTACCTTGCCAAGTTTAAATTAGTGATAATGGATGCACCTAACCACAGCTACAGCTCAGTCATGCAATATCCATGGCTACCATGCTCATCAACAATTCCTTTCAGGCTCCCATTTACAATGCAAGTGTAAAATATGCTAAAAGCTCATAAACATGGTACACCTCACCAAAATTTTGCATGCATTATCATACATACCTGCAGTTGGTGGAGGCCCACAGACACCAGTAGTATTTTTCTTTATCCTAGTAATCTCAGGAGTTGAAATATTCCGGAAACAATTAGCTTTGTATAAGAAACACTTGTTGGGATACCAGTGACCATCACTGCCACAAGTTAGTGTCTTGCTGGACATTGTGCGTTCACAACAGTTCTTTTCTCTACAGGCAAGCCTTGCATCAGCAGCTATTAATAACAATGAAGAAATGAAATGTAAATAATGCATATATTATTACCATACACCAACAAACTATATGTAGTTTTAAGATCAAATACAATAATGAGACACTTGGGATCATGTGCTAGAAAATAGCAAAGGAATAATTTGCAGAGCACGGCAGACTTTACAAAAGACTGTTTTATGTCAAAAGTGCAGTGTCTAAACTAATGCTACAATACCATGATGATTAATGTTGCACATGCACAATCAGCTATATGATCTATAGTACTTACGTATGCATTTTCCAGTAGGAGCATCTTGTTGTCCATCAGGTCCCATTTTTCTAATGAAATCACTTCTGCTCAATATTTCATGTAAACATTCATGTCCATTTTCACAACGTCCATGTTTGTAGAGCCAACCTCCACATATGCCTCGTGGTTGCTTTGGACACACTCTGCAGCAACTAAATGTATCAAGAACAAGATCAGTAGCATTTGAGACATTACTGCAGCCTGGAATGGCTGTTAAGCTGCTTGATTTAATACAGTTTTTATCTTTGACTGCATAGTAGTCACACAAATCTTTCTTTGGTACCCCAGAGTTCAACAAGGCCCCATAATCCACCTTTACAGAGTAAGGATCCGGCGACACTTCAGCTTCAATAATACCGAGAAGAAATGAAGCGAGAGTAACTGCAGCGAATAGGAGATGCATTCTGCTCTAGCTGTGGGCCTATTAGAGTTCTTTGACGAAGACCACACCAAAGTCTGCGTGTTCTTTTATACTCACGCGCGAGGAGGCCATTTCAATGCAGCAGGCCAGTCAGCTCCTTTCTTCCTGCCACTGAATCCATGGCAGTCAAGCCTGGGCAAACAAAATAATTAGAAATGCAGGTCGCCTGACAAACCACATCCTTTATCCTCATTTAGAGCAGGACATTTTTAAAAAGGGGCTAATATCACCCCTGGACACATAAAAACACACTACCATGCAGCCTGGTACCATTTTAGCACTTGCAGGTCCTGGCAGGCCATCAATGGTTCGGTCACGTAGAGCTACGAAGTTCATTGCAATGTATCTAAACATTCAAAATAACAGGCTTAAAATAATAATAACAATAAATAGATAATCAAAGCTGTGAGAGAGAGAGTATGAAGGACAGAGTCCACTCAGTTTAGGACGAAGAGTTTGCATCATGTAAGAACATCCCGTGTTTGTCTGTTGACTGTAGGAGGCCACATATGAAACCTGCATCAACCTGCAGACAGAAGAGGCGATAGGTATTTGGTACATTATCATTTGTGGTCAATGACATCGCCATGAGATCAACACACTCACCGTAAGCAAATAATTACAAGGAGATGGCTCCTCTAGTGATATTGAGACTTGATTGCGGGAGCCAGACTTCTTGCTGGCACACCTAAAATCAAAACAAAACAAGCCCGAGATTTTAATCAATAGAACTACGACGTGATGCAGGAATGAGATAATCACAATCATCATGCGGGCATGAGCTAGTGGTCAGTTTGAGCCACCCACTTTATACTCGAGGCCAATTTTAGCACACAACATAACCATAACTGTAAGTCTATTGGATTTATATGGAGTAGAGGCTAATGATGAAGGTCTTACTAGATCAATAAGCTTATCAAGTGCAGCCATTTAAGTCAATGACAACAACTATGATACTATGCACTCTGTATACCGGATAGAAATGGTACAAATTGAGCTCTACACTTGGAAAAATATAATTCTGCTTTATAAAGACATACCAATACAAATATGTACATGTACATGTACTTATTTCATCTTCTTACTATAATAATAATAACAATAATAATAATAATAATTCACCATCTCACCAATTCTACTTTATAAAGGCATACCAATACATACATGTACATGTGATGCACTTATTACTTCATCTTCTTACTACCAGAATAACTATCCATCTCACCAATTCTACTTTATATGTATGTGTATATATGTACATGTACATTTACTTATTTCATCATGTTACAATAATAATATCTATAATAATAATTCTCTATCTCACCAACTCTACTTTATAAAGACATGTCCACATACATGTACATGTACTTATGTAATATATTCCTTTTTTCCAATCTCACCTGAACTTCACTCTAGCTTGTCTTGGCTGACCAGTGAGGTCACACACGTCCCCGCTCACATAAAGATGAGTGACGTGACTATCATTAATTAATGATTACTCATAAGATAACACCCAAAACCCCCCACCCACCCTCATACCAATCACCCACTCATTAAGTATAATTACTTTGCCGACTGCTTCCCTTTTCCCATCTTTGAGAACCACTGGCGGTGAGCCTCTTCACTCCATGTACCAAGAGTAATGGTCTGTCTAATGATACCACCTTCCTACACAAATAATGAAACTGAAACTGCTAATCATCGTGATCTCTATACTATTATTATCATCATCATTATTATTATTATGTTACTTTGTGGAATTGTCTCACGTAACCTTTAAAGCATAACTCATACTGCCACCATGAGCTGAAGCTCTGTAGAGAGAGACAGAGAGACAGAGAGAGAAAGAGAGAGGAGAGAGAGAGGGAGGGAGAGAATTACAGAGAAAAGACGAAGGGATAGTTGAAGGGTGTGGCAGCCAGAGGCTAATTAATCCTAATTCCAATGAACTGGTCTAGGCTTCGTAAAAATACAATATCTCCTTACATATGGACGGATGGATACAATACATGTACATGAAGGTAAGTGTATGTGTAGTGAAGAGTGTAATTGATTGTTTTCTAAACACAATGACAATAATTGCTTTTAACTGAGAACGCTCAGCCAAAGAGGTGAGCGTTACACACACACAGCACAAAGCACAAGTACACATACAGTGTACATAACAGAGTCATGATTGCTCCAATAATGCGCCTACCCCTAATATGCAGGTGGATCCACTTAGAAAGTTGGCAACGAAAGTGCTGTCTAGCGGTAGCTGGCTTCTATCAAACTGACTGTCACTGTTGATGGCACCTGCACCTTGGGCAGGAGACATGTCTGTATTTGACTAGAATAAGAGAGAGAGAGGGGGGGGGGAGAGGGAGGGAGAGGAAGAGAGGGTGAAAGATGAACAAGAGACGTGAACACAAGATTTACCTGTGGTCTAAACAATGAAGGAGTATCTTTACTAAATGATATATCTTTCATTGAGGACTCGTGTTGAACTAAACGTAACGGCTTACTAAAACAAAAATAACAAAAACTAATTCAATTTAAATGATATACATAGCCATTTTATTCCATTAGTAACAAGCCTAATGCAGCTGGTTCATACAAGTGTATTGCGCCTACAAGTCTTCATTAATGTTAATCAGCGGCTGGGAGAGCACCTCTACTTAACCTCTAGTGTACACATCATTACTGTACCCGTACCTTACCTGGGTGAGTCTTTGACCGGAAGACATTGTATGGAATGAACTGGTTCATCTTTCACCCTATGAAGGAGAGAGAGGGGGAGGGAGAGAGAGAGGAGATACGGATTATAAGCATGACTAAAATTCATTAGATAAAATGAAACACGATTGATGATGCTGGCTTCCTTTAGATTTACATATACCATAGTTATTGGTCACTATTAGACATATGGGCAGGGGCCGGTACAGCCTGTCTGGAGGTGAGTATCAGTAATGTAATACCTGAGTCCCTTGATATCTGCCCTCAGCTTCACCTCAAGCAGATATCTCAGTCCTCAGGTATTACATTACTTATACCCACACACACCTCCAGACAGGCTGGACTGTATCTATAGTACATGTACATGCATTAATGAAAGACTATAGAATATTTCATTTACACATACTCTGTGTATACCTGTAAGCTTTATTCTTGCACAATGATTTAGTGGCAATGACAGCTTCATATTGACAAGTACTGGTTTCCTTTACCATCACAAGCTACAAGAGAAAGAGGAGGAGGAAGAGAGAGAGAGAAAAGGAAGGAAGGAATTTTAAAAGGGGAAGTTGGGGGAGATAAAGAAAGAGGAAGAGCTTTAATTTACAATCTTTTCATTATAAAACAACTCCTCAGTATTGTGGCTGTGTTAACAAATGTCTGAGTGAGTGATTCCTAACTAGTTTAATTTATAGACTAGATTTGGCGGTCAATCTTTCTCACAGACACCTGCTTCTACTGCTTCCACATTATACATCAATTACATGTACATTATAAAGTTAAATACATTATACATGTACATGTACATGCATTATCAGAGATTATTTCATGTGTACATATTAGCTGTAGATCTTACTGATGAAGCTGTCCTGTGCTCCGGGTCACAGATTATCATCACTTTAGTAGTCCTGCCCATGTCATCTTTAATGTCACAAGGAGAACCATCAGATAAAGATACCTATACATGTACATGTACATATACATTATACCAAAACACATACATGTACATGTACATGGCAATTAATAGTAGATAATGTCATTCCAATTGTCCATTTATACGTCAGGTACCTCATAATAAGGATAATCAATGTTGAGGTAGGGCCAGGTGGGCGGAGGGTTGGGAGGAGCTGCTGCTTCTAATTTATTGAATTTACCTAAATTATACTCCACTACCTGTGAATGGATACATTATGTGAACCATCATTAGGAGTATGTACATATAATGACTATTAGGGGTATAAGTACATGTACATTATGTGAATCAGGAATGTGTGTGCATTATGTGAGCCATCATTAGGGTATGTACATATGGTATGTGAATTAATGATGATTAGGGGTATGAGTACATACATGTATATGTGAATCAGGAATGTGTGTGCATTATGTGAACCATCATTAGGAGTATGGTTAAAGGTTAAGATACTTTAAGTTCTTCCTGGTTCCTTTCTTCATGAAACTGGCGGAGCTGCTTACCATAACACATCTCATAGGACCAATAGCCATCAACCTGTACAGGTACAATTGTAATAATAATAAATAATATAACAATAATGATCACTGTTAGATCTAGAGGGAGTTTAGGAGACTTGTGGTTTCTCATATTTAGCCTATGGTCTCCTTAAGTCTTCTATTTGTAGTTAGACTGGTCTCCTAAGCCTCCATTCCTAGATCTACCAGTGACGATAGTCTCTCTCCTTACCAAGATCACACAGTCATCAGAGAGGAGGATCGGCTCTAGCAATACGTGAGGGAGTAGGGCATCACTGCTAATTTCATTTTCCTATACACACAATTATAAATAATTGAATATATAACAATAATAGTAAATTTAAAAGGTTTTTAATTAATACATATACATGTATGTACATACTAGCACTTGTGGGCATTTATGAGACATTAATATTGTCAGTTAGAATGTACATTATGTGTATCTAATGTAATGTACTGTACCTCTTTATCTGATAGTAATTGAGTAGGTATTGTACACTTGTACTGCTCATTGTCAAAAGTAGTCAATAGCTGAAGAGAGAGAGAGAGGGGGGAAGAGAGAGAGAGGGGGGGAAAAGAGAGAGAGAGATCGAGATTATGTGAGAGCGGAAACAGAAAGAAGTGTATGATTATATGATAATTTACAAATCTCACAAATGATATGGTGCATGTAAACGTAAACAAAAACCAACAAGAAACTACAAGTGGCTAAATAGAAGCCAGTACGGTTACCCCAATATTGTGGTGAAACGATACCATACAGCAGAGACAGGCCGACTTTAAATTAAAACCAATTTTAATATACCTCAATACACTCAAGTATATAATAATAATGTACTGGACCATTACCTCAACATGGAGGTGTACCTACCTCCTGTCCACTAGCTGAGGCTTCATCTTCCTCCAATAACTTCTTTTCTGAGAAATCATTATTACATCCTGGCCATGTCACCTAATGATAATAATAATAAATATACCAGGATAGGAGTAAAGGAGCAAAAATGAGCTCAATTACTTCGAATTTGATGGAGTCATCAAAAGGATTGTAATCTGATCCACCGGTAAAGGGACTCCATTGAAGCAGGAATAAACTTATGAAGAAATAATGGACAAGTCTGGAAACCATTTAATTATTGCTACTCTAAATAACGCCCATTGGGCATTATAGTATGCCACTCACGTGCAGAAACTTGCCAGAAAGATTATAATTTCAATTTCATTAAATTCATTTGTAATTGATTCAAAATAATTCAAAAACTATCAACATTATTGTTGCTTTCACTATAATACACAATTAACTGTAGAATCAGTCAATTACAATTTTAAATCATTTCTTATTTTGCTGGACATACTCCCAAAGTTGCTTTCTCATCTACAAAATAAAGGGACAGATGTCACTTTGGATAACCCACTGAATGATAAACTGTACCTCAGGGTCTGTTACTTTGTAGGTATGAGTTAAGAAATTATTGAATTTCTCTAACTTCTTTGGCGTTGGTGTGGTGCCAGACTACATGAAAGAAAAGTTGCATAATCCTTTTAAATAATGTAATAAAAGGTCCGGTTTCTTATCACTAAAGAGGAGTGTGTGTATACACATCACATTAACCTCCTTACCACAAGTTTCTTCTTAATGAGATCAATGTTCATTGGACCCTGCAAAGTACAAAGATTTGATCTCACAATCATAATAATAATAATAATAATATTAATAATAATAATAATAATATTAATAATAATAACAATCATAATAATAATATCATTATTCGTTGGTCTTACTTTGTTAGGCGTCTGACTCTTAGGTGGCTTTTGCTGAAAGTACAAACAAAACAAAAAGAGAAAAGATAAAGAAATCATCAAAGGAGGAGCAAGAGGACAGAGTGACAAACCATACAATCATCAGCACAAACCATTCCCACAAAGCACATGCTTCATGAGCTGACTAGCACTACAATACAGTACATGGCATTTGGAGCAACTTTAAAAATTCATAAAAAATCCAAACTTGATTCGAATCAGCTCAAACTTTCTACATCACATGAGAACATGTATATGTATCAGGAAATATTATAAAAATGAAGAATTTTCTCTTAGTGATTTTTGACGAAATCAGGCCAAAGTCCCTGTACTATAGTACAGGGACTTTGACCAGATTTTGGAGCAAATTTAAAAATTCGTAAAAAAATCCAATTTTGATTGGAGTCAGCTCAAACTTAAAACACAACATAAGAACATGTATATGTATCAGAAAAAAATTATAAAATGGAAGAATTCTCTCCTTTTCATTTTTGGCAAAATTGACTTACAGATGATAACGGAGTCTTGCCAGCTGGCTTGCTGTTCTTGGTAGGCTGAGGAGTTTGACTCATGTTCTTGTTTCCTTTTGGTTTCTCTTTTTTACCAGCAGCAGGAGCAGGTGGTGCCTTCTTGTTTCCTGGCTGAGGTTTCTTTCCCTGAAAACAAAAATACGCACACATACATGTACATTTTAAAATATCAAAGCAAGACAGCTTCACATGTTGAAGTTTGAGGATCATCCATTACCTTTTTAGTTGGTTGAACTTTGACTTCCTCCTCCTCCTCACTATCCTTCAGGTCATCATCACTGTCTCCCTCATCATCACTATCCAGCTCATCTTCATCACTGCCTCCTTCAATATCATCATCACCGTCCTCACCCTCTAGATCCTATCAAGGCACAGTTACACCATTATATGTATATAAATATATAATGTATATAAATATATACATTATATAAATATATACATTATATGTATGTCAAATGCCAATAAAACACTTACACTATCACCACTGTCACCATCAATAGCATTATCTACAAAAAACCAAAAAACCAAAATTATTAAATTATTGATGGACATACAATTATACAGAAATTTGAACAAACAGCTGCTTCTATGTACATGTATATACAGACCAAAGGATCACCTCATTATGTATTAAAATCAACACAGTATGGTATGTCAGTGTGTTAACAGCAGTATGATATTTTAATAATCACTGGTGATCAGTACAATAGAAATAACCAACACACACACACAATTTGAAATAAACTAATAATAAAGAACAGTCTAAGATATGTACATGGACACATTGAATTACCTTTATTGTCTTTACTGTCCATTAATGAATCATCATTCTGATCTTCTTCATCTTCTGCTTTTGGAGCCTAAAAATGAAAGAGATATGGAATTAAGAAAAAGAGAGAAATAATGAAAAAAGGTATTCAAATTAAAACTCTAATATACTTTGGGTTTCTTTTTTGAAGGCTCATCGTCTGCTGGTCGTTTCTATAAAATATATTAAGTATCAGTTCAGGTTCAGCTGTTAAACTTTTAAAATCTTACAAGAGCAGATGGCTTTGAAGACTTAGTGGGAACTAGAACAGGGGGTAGACTTTCTAGAAAAAATAAACAATAAAAATTAAAATAATAGTCTATAGCAGAAAAATTTTGAAAACTTATTTTTGTGAATGCACAAAAGAGCAAAAATTTTAATTAGTAAATAATGACATTTATGCATTACTCTAGTAAAATAATCAGCATAACATAGTTATTTTGCAAAATTATTCATGCTATATATGGTAATAATAATGATGTAGTTCATAATTTTAGTTTAGACTAGACTGGGTCGTCATGCTATTAGTCTAAGTGGAGACAGAACTAATGGTTTAATGTAGCAGCATTAGGAAGATGAGCATATCAATGGATAATATTAATGATCAGCTCATGGCAAAATTATGCTGCAATTTTAAAACACAGAATCAAAAAATATGAAGTACCTTTTGATGCTTCTTGCTCTTCTTCATCATCACTATCATCACTATCATCTTCATAATCGGACATAGACATTTCTAAATAAAGAGCACCTCAAGTGACGTCAATTAAATGTCAGTTTTACCTGTAGTCATTGCACCTGTAAGATGTACCGGACCAGATCCTAATTCAAAAAATTAAGAGAATACATTATAAAATTTAAAAAAAATAAAAAAAAATAAAGTGAGTAACCTTTTATAAGTTCAAATTTAGCTGGAGGTTGTATCGATAAACTTAATGAAACCTTTTAAAATTAAATAAATAAATAAAAAAGTCAGCAACAAGTGAACGAACTTGCTCCACTCCGTCAAGTCTTAAAGAAGCTATGACAAATCTTTCTTCTTCGTCATCTTCGTTTTCTACCGTCACAGCAATGATGTTCCGCTCTTTAGGATTCATATTGTCAGCATAACCAAGACATGCCTAAAATTAAAAAAATGACTCATTACTCAGCTGCATTTATAATTCCCTAACCCCGCGTAGTTGTATGGTAGTTTCCAGTCCTTCTTCTTCTTCTTCCTCCTCGAATTCGAATACTTTGTTTTTAGATGACAGGGTCTTTCCTAATAAGAAAAGGTTTGTTAAGAATCCTAAAACTCTTAGAATTTACCCCAAAATGTCTCCATCTTTGCTGTATCCATATTTCCCATGGAGTCGTCCATCATCATCTTCTGCTCAGGCTCCTCGTGTTGCTACACTTTCCACCTCGTGGCATAATCTTCTGCACATGCGTAGTATAACTTACCGCCAAGAGGTGTGGTCAATGACACACACTAACATATCCGGAAAGTATACGAAAAACACGTGGTACTACAATTTTTTATTATTGGTGCAAAATAATTTTATTGCTCCATGTATCATATAATTAATAATACAAATTAATCCTATAGTGTTTAAAATTAACAGCAGTCTTTAAAAAGTCAAGATCTAATCAAATAATATCTACAAATGAGTTTGAAGATCAGGGTTGTCTCTGAAAGAGAGAGAGAGAAAGAGAATGTTAATATCATTCAAGACTTTGTACATGAACATGATGGTCTACCTGAGCTGAGAGCCTGTGGGCATCTTCCCTTGATACATTAGCTCAGCACTGGTTGATACCACAGGGTCCATGGCAAGGCTGCACACTGCCATCACTTTATCATCTCTATTTATTTTAAATAAATAATAATTCTTTTTATTATTACAATCTCTAACTAACTTTACAAAATAAGCAGCAAACTTAAGCTCTTCAGGATTGCCATTGTATATAATCTCATCCCAAGACAAAGCAAAACCTAAAAAACAGAATAAAAATATAATTAATAACAGTAGCCTCTTTATAATGGACACTTTGGTAGTGTCTCTGTTATACAGAGGTGTCCTTTATGTGGAGGTTATTTTATACAGTAAGGAATGTAATTGGTACACTAGGTGCTGTCCGTTAAATGGAGGTGTACGCTATAGAGAATGTCCATTAAGAGAGGCTATACTGTAGTTTTATTTTCAACTAACCGCAATAGCGAAGGCTCTTTCCAAAGAGGACAGTCCAGAAGTATGGTATACTATTAAAGGATTCTTCTTTTCCTGCCATGTTCCTGCCAGCAATGTGTCCATGGTTGTGAGCTATCTGCCAGTGACCAATGGAGACAGAGTCCTGGATCAGAGGAAGAGGGAACTTTGCTATATCACCAGCTGCATAGACACCATCAGTGACCTTCATGTACTGAAAGAGAAGATACAATACACATTATATTGTCTGGTGTGATGTGTCTGTGTGTGTTAGTGCAAAAAAAGAGAAAGAGAGAGAGAAAGAGAATTATAGTGGCCTGGAGATTTGAAGAGGTCAGTAATGAACTCCAGTAGAGATGATAAAGCTCCCAGCCTGATAGAGTATTCATACAATGGTGACAGTGCCCAGAGAGAGAGAGCGTGTGTGTGTGATTATTTATTATTATTAATGGAATAAATGGTTTTGGAGGGAGAGGAGGGATACAGCAGCTGCAGGACGTACCTCATCAACCACAACCTCTCCTCTGTTGGTGAGAGGGATATCTGAGTCTTTGAGATAATCAGTAGCAGGCATTACACCTGTAAAATAAATAAATAAATAAATAAATAAATTTGTTGTTTGTTGTTGTTTGTTGTTTACTGACCTACTCCAGCGACAACAATATCAGCAGGAATGGTTTCATCAGAAGGAAGAGTAACACCTGTAACCTGAAGAATGATAATAATAATAATAATAATAATAATAATAATAACAATAACAACAACATCTAAGAGTAGAAGAATCCATGACAAGCAAAAACCCATTAGTTCCATTGTCATGAAATCCATGACAAGCAAAAACCCATTAGTTCCATTGTTACTATAAATGCAGGGCTTTGGCATGATTTTGAGCAACTTTAAAAATTTGTAAAAAATCCAAATTGGATCGGAATCAGTTCAAACTTTCTACATAACATAAAAACATGTATATGCATCAGGAAAAATTATAAAACAGAATTTTGTCCTTTTCATTTTTGGTGAAATTTGGCCAAAATCCCTGTACTATTTTGTTTGGGGGTGAATCCTACTTAGTAACGCTACCGCGTTACTAATAGTACAGGGACTTTAGCCCGATTTTTAAGCAACTTTAAAAATTCGTAATAATTTCAAATTTGATCGAAATCAGTTTAAACTTGCTACACAACACAGAAACATGTATATGTATCAGGAAAAATTATAAAAATGGAGAATTTTCTCTTTGTCATTTTTGACAAAATTTGGCCAAAGACCATGTAGACTAGTACAGGCTTTTTGTCAAATTTTGGAGCAAATTCTCAATGTCAAAATTCTATGTGAATTAAACTCTGAATTACAAAACAAACCTTTCCATCTTCAGACACGATTTCTTTGACGCCAGATTTAAGATGAAACTTTATCCCTTTCTCCTCCAGTAGCTAATAATTATTAAAAACTAATAAAATAATAATAAAATAAAAACTAGTAGCAGCTGTACCGTTTGTAATGCTTTCCCGATGCGTTCTCCTAAGACTCTCTCAAAAGGCACAGCTGCAATGTCAATACACTCCACGCTGGTAGCTTTATCCGACAGGTAAGAGGCAACCTCCATTCCAATGAAAGATGTACCTATTACCACGACCCTTTTATCCTGGAGAGAGAGAGAGAGAGGGAGAGAATATATGGTGATATAATAACAATAACTGTTGGAATTACATTAGCTTAACCTTGGCATTAGTAGCAATATCATTAGCTTGAGATGGTTCCCTTAGCAAGCATACATTATCAAACCCAGGAACAGGCAGAGTACGAGGCCTACAGGGTACAATATGAATGAGGATACAAATATTCACATTTATATAATATGTACACGTACATTATGCAATACCACAAGTACCCAGTACTATTATATTCCTACTAGTACTGATGCTTACTTAGCTCCAGTGGCTAGTAGCAGTTTATCATACTGTAGAGTAGTACCATCTGAGAATGTCAATGTTTTTGATGAAGAGTCAACACGAGTGACCTATCATAAGAACATGTAAATGTACAGTATATAGGTATGAAGTGTAATATAATGTACTTTATTAATTATTAATAAGTGTAATGTAAGTGGTATCAAATATGAACAGAAAGCATCATTTGAGGAATACACTGTGATCTAGTATATATCTCTTGGCAGTTAACAGGAGAAGGAGTCCAACACATAATGAACTAACACAACATAATGTACTCACTTCTCTTTCAGTTTGTAGCTCAATGTTGTGTTCTTTATAAAAGGACTCTGACCTAAGCTTAATCTCCTCAGCAGAAATGTGCATAGCCTAAGAAAGAAAGAGAGAAAGAGAGAGAGAGAGAGGAAAAGGAAAAGGAAAAAGAGAGAGGGAGTGGACATACTTTGCTCAGTTTGGGTCGGTCATAAGGTAGAACTTTCTCTCTAGTACACAATATAATCTTTCCATTGAAACCTTCTTGACGAAGAGTTTCAGCACAAACCACAGTCGCTGGACCTACGACAGATAATAATAATAATAATAATACAGATACATTGATGCCATTTAAATGCATGGGTCTTAAAAGGTTTCATGTTAATTACTACACGGAGTGAGCTGTGACTGATATTGTGGTTTATAGTGTACACTCATCACTAGTAAACATGATTATACTCTCAGCCAATGAGAGACATGTACAGTGTAAGTAAGAGCAGACAGACTCAAGATAAGACAAAATTAAATCAAAATTTAATAATTTAAATAATTAAAATATCTTCACCTCCTCCAACCAGAACATAAACTTCATCTCTTGTTGTGCCGTCAACTGGAGACTTTTGAACAAAAGGACAGCGACCTTTCTCAAGGTCCTAAAAGATATAAAGACACAAAATTAATAAATTCAGTAGCAGCAAGTCCTACATGATTTAACCTAATCTGCTATGAAGCTGATATCAATAAGAATCAGAGTTGTATAAAGTTAGTTGTCAACTATTAACAAGTAGATTAATTCAAATTGTGATGTGAAAAACATGTTAAATGAGATCTTTTCATAAAAGTAAAGTTGCTAAATACTAACACCAGAGAGGACTCCTAATTAATGACTATACATTGAATGAATATATCCTCACAATATTGCAATACCATAGCAACAGTATAACACATTGAATACTAGTTTAATACATATGTACAAGTACAGTATGTAACTATAT